GGCACGGATGCTTTTCCGCAAAAAGTGCTTTTGCAGAAAAGCATCCGTGCCAATCTAGATGCTCTTTTCTGCAAATGGTTTCAACGGAAAAACTTTTTCATTAAAAGCATTTGCGCAAAATCATGGCAGTCTAGACGTAGCCGGGGAGTTTTGGAGTGAAGGTGGATCACCTCAAAATATATAATTCAGCTCTTTGTAGAGTCTGTAGGTTGCGAGTGCAGCACTGGGGTGGTGGTTTACTTCCTGTGCATTTTAGTAGGCATTTCACTGCTCCTTCAGTTTGAGTCTGCACGGCAGTGCATCTCGGTCATGGCCCCTTTCTGTCATGCATCTTGAGATGTGACTGTAGATATCATAATTTGTACAGCTGGAGCACAGCTAGTACTAGACTGTCTCTTCTTCCCAAACATTGATGAGGTCCAGCACGTTAGCCTGGTTCCAAGCAGGGGATCTCCTGGTGCATGGAACAGGCATGACAAGCTGAAAGAACACACAACATGTCACTGAGCCAACAGGAAGGGGACTTTCAAATTTCAAAAAGAACGGAAAGGGAGAATCTGAGGGTTGGTCACCTGAGTGCAGTAGAGTTCAAACAGATAACCAGAGAGGCAAGAACAGGCATTGTGGGAAGGGTGCTGTAAGCCATTCATGATGCAGTACTACACAGTAGTTTCAACACTTGCATCCCAGAGCTGTATACAGTGCGCATCAAGCTCTATACTTCTCACCAAGATGGTTTAGAGTGCACTAAGTACCTTGCCAGTTGTGGACACCCAGAAAGTTACAGCACTGGGGGCTGATTTACTGTGCAATAACTTGCTGGTGTAGACTTGGCCTCTGTCAAGGCTGCTCAGACATTTGGAGCTGTTCACAATGTTTTAGTATTATAGAATTGATAAGGAAAGATGTGCACACTTATTTGTCACTGTAGGGTTATGGATGACGGGAGGGATCATGTGAGGATTACCTGTTGTGTTCACTCCCTCTGAGGCATCTGACATTGACCACTGTTGGCGGACAGGATACTGGGCTCGATGGACTTTTGGTTTGACCCAGTATGGCAGTTCTTATGTTCTAATTTGTGAGCACTGAGCTTGAGTGTGCTCTTTGGTTATTATTACAGCTCGTTCAAATTTTATGACCAAACTTTTTTCATCATAAGCAAAATGTTTGTAGAAATTGTCAATTTCAATGAAATTTTGTGTTTTATAAAAGAAAACTTGAAAAACTGTTTTGGTACGGTTGAAACATTCCATTTCAGCCTTCTTGGAACAGAATGTTTTGATTTTCCATTTTGAAATGACATTTTGTTTCAATATTTTAAATTTGATGTAATGTAAAATAAAAAAATCAAAACTAAAACAAACATTTTGATTGACCAAAAAATTGCATTTCTTGAGAAATTTCATTTTTATTTAATTTTCACTCTATTTGGTAATGGGGAAACATTCAAAATTGCAGATTTTTCTGTGAACAGAAAAAATTGCCACCTGCTCAACTTACTACATTATAGGATCACTCGGCCAATGATTACAACTGGTAACCATTCATTCCCACTACTGTTCCCCTGAGTATCAATTGTTTCTCTGACATCCCAACATTGCTGAAATCTAATATCTATTGGTTGGGTTGTTGCAGTGCAGGCAACCTGGATGGCATATGATATGGTGGTTATGCGTACCAACCCAGACTTAGCAAACTCCATGAGGCAACTGGAAGATGCATTCTTGAACTGCAAAGAAGAGATGGAGAAGAATTGGAAAGAGATGCTGAAGGAAACAAAAGGCAATGAACAAAAACAAGAATAAACAGCCTTCAACTCTGTTAATGAAATTGCAACAGATAAATCATTCCAGACTCATTATTTCAGTCATGAAATATCTGCAGATGTCATACAAATTGTTGATTAACTGTTATTGATGTGGCTATACAAATGTATTCTGCCAAATACATGTATTATTGAAACCAAAAGTAATGATGCCTCTGTTTTTATCTATCCTTTTCCTATAATTTAGGCACAGTTATAATTATATAATGATATTGATAAATAAAGCTATTCCATTTTCCCAAAGGATCCTAATCTGATTTATAGATTGTGGTTCAGCCGCTGTTGAAACTGATCAGTTTCAGCAGCGGCTGAATCTGGACGCCAGTTCCGACTTACATACAGATTCAACTTAAGAACAAACCTACAGTCCCTATCTTGTACATAACCCGGGGACTGCCTGTATTGGCCACTGTCGGCAGATAGGATACTGGGCTAGATGGACCTTTGGTTTCACCCAGTATGGCCATTTTTATGTTCTTATTTGTGAGCACCTAGCTTGAGTGTGCTCTTTGGTTATTATTACAGCTTGTTCAAATTTTCTGACCAAACTTTTTTCATCAAAAGCAAAATGTTTGTAGAAACTGTCAATTTCAATGAAATTTAGTGTTTTAAAAAAAAATTGAAAAACTGTTTTGGTACTGTTGAAACATTCCATTTCAGCCTTCTTGGAACAGAATGTTTTGATTTTCCATTTTGAAATGACATTTTGTTTCAGTATTTTAAATTTGATGTAATGTAAAATAAAAAAATCAAAACTAAAACAAACATTTTGATTGACCAAAAAATTGCATTTCTTGAGAAATTTCATTTTTATTTAATTTTCACTCTATTTGGTAATGGGGAAACATTCAAAATTGCAGATTTTTCTGTGAACAGAAAAAATTGCCACCTGCTCAACTTACTACATTATAGGATCACTCGGCCAATGATTACAACTGGTAAACTGTTCCCCTGAGTATCAGTTGTTTCTCTGCCATCCCAATATTGCTGAAATCTAATATCTATTGGTTGGGTTGTTGCAGTGCAGGCAACCTGGATGGCATATGATATGGTAGTTATGCGTACCAACCCAGATTTAGCAAACTCTATGAGGCAACTGGAAGATGCATTCTTGAACTGCAAAGAAGAGATGGAGAAGAATTGGAAAGAGATGCTGAAGGAAACAAAAGGCAATGAACAAAAACAAGAATAAACAGCCTTCAACTCTGTTAATGAAATTGCAACAGATAGCTCATTCCAGACTCATTATTTCAAAGAGTTTTTGATTTTCTCAGTTTTCTATGGATTTTTTCTCAACATTGTCTCAGAAAGCTATTTTAATCCTCTCTCTCTCTTATAAAGAAGTTGTATTTGTACACAGTAGGTATGTCTAGACTACATGGTTTTTTCGAAAAAGTGGCCTTTTTTTTAAAAAACTTCACCTGTGTCTAGACTGCAGCCGCATTCTTTCAAAAGTAAATCGAAAGAACAAGGCAGTTTATTCGGTCACAGTAAACCTCATTTTACAAAGAATAACGCCTTTTTTCGAAAGTACTGTTTTGAAAAGAGGTACTATTGAATGCAACCTGCTTTTTTGAAAGAGAGCGTCTGGGCTCTCTTTCGAAAAAGCAGCTTACTTTTTCAAAAAATCTGCTTGTAGTCTCGACGCTCCCTTTCGCAAGAGGCTTTTTCAAAAGATAATTTTGAAAAAGCCTCTTTTGAAAGAGGCTTGCAGTCTAGATGTAGCTGGTGAGAATTATACTGTGCTTATGGAGCCTGTGTTCAATTATTTCAGTTTTATTACCATAGTGGAAAATGTTCTGTCAGGTGTAAAGAACAAAACCAAGGTGTCAGCTACACCTCTGTAAGATGTAGCCTGTGTTGCAGTTTATCCAATGCAGATCTTTGGAGCAGAGAAACCAAATAAGCCATATTAAAGGCATTGATTTCCATGCTGCCCATCCCCCTTCTCCCCCCCTACACACCACACACAGAGACATGGACACAGCTGGGCAATAATTTTTTAATGGGGGCCACTTCCAAAATTTCGGAAGTGGCCCTGGGCCACCCTGGAAGGGGCAGGGCCTTGGGTGGAAGGGGTGGGACCAGGGGATTTCTTGTACTTACCCCCCCACACACACACCCTGCTTGGTTTGGGATGAGGGAGGGGTTCCCTCTAGGTACCTAGTGGGAGGAGACCTCCCAAGCTCTCCCTGACCCCAGACCAATCAGTGCCAGTGGGTGGGGGAGCATGCGAAATAGCCAGTGTGCCTCTCTAGCCGCTGCACGCCCCTGGCATGGCAGAGATAAGACAGGAGAGACTTTGCGTGCTCCCCACACCCAGGCCAGTCAGGGCCTGGGGGTAGGGGAACGGCAAGGCGGCCCTGGGCTGGATCCAGCCCATGGAGGGCACTTTGCCCACCCCTGTATCAGCAGGTGAGGCCCTTAGTTGACCAGGCAAAGTCATTTTGCATAGATTATACTTATAGGAAAGTTCAAGAAATGAAATATATGTAATAGATTTTTATTAGTATGCTTGCAAAAGGGAAGTAAAAGGACAGCTTTAAATTTTTAGGATTTCGTCTTCAACATTATTCATTTTACTGAATAATTACCATACATAATAAATTTGAATCTGAAACTTGTAAAGCTTCCATTACTCTTTCCATAACTAATTTGAATTAGTTTGTGATTTGTAATAGTACACATTTCCTTTGCACTAAAATGACAGTTGAATAGGCGATTCAATATTAATTCTGTAAGAAAATATTTTTATGAATTCTAATAATAATAGTCATGACTTTTTTCCAATGAAAAAGTGCTTCTGGGGAGCCTTAAATGCGATTCATCCTCCAATCAGTGTGGACGATCTATTTCAAAACAGCTATGTGCTATTTTGATGGGCATTTGTAGTATTAATGTGCTATTTTGAAATCGCTATTTAGGGAGTTATTATTCTGAAATAGCTTATTTCTAAATAAACATGCAGGCTGTGTCTAGACTGGCCAGTTTTTCTGGAAAATCAGCTGCTTTTCCGAAAAGCTTGCCAGCTGTCTACACTGGTCGCTTGAATTTCCGCAAAAGCACTGACTTCCTACTGTAAGAAATCAGTGCTTTTTGTGGAAATACTATGCTGCTCCCATTCGGGCAAAAGTCCCTTCTGCACAAAACTTTTGCGCAAAAGGGCCAGTGTAGACAGCTGAGATTTGTTTTCCGCAAAAAAGCCCCGATCGCGAAAATGGCCATTGGGGCTTTTTTGCGCAAGAGTGCGTCTAGATTGGCCACGGATGCTTTTCCGCAAAAAGTGCTTTTGTGGAAAAGCATCCGTGCCAATCTAGACGCTCTGTTCCGAAAATGCTTTTAACGGAAAACTTTTCCGTTAAAAGCATTTCTGGAAAATCATGCCAGTCTAGACGTAGCCGTAGCTTAGACATACCCTTATATGAAATCCCCTCTCAGCAGAGGCACTATTTAGGGGCAGCTGGGGGTGGAGGAGGAATGAATTTCATACTTGAGGTCTGCTTAAAACTTAAAATAGGGGTGGCCAACCAGTTAGAAACTATGAGTCAAAATAGCTGTGGATAGAGTGCAAAGAGCCACATATATTTATTTTTATCTATCTATCTATCTATCTATCTATCTATCTAGCCCTCCCCCATTCTATCCCAGTGCCCTCCCCCAGAGCCAGGCATTCCCAGCTCTCCCCCTGCTCCCCCAGAGCCAGGTACCCCCAGTCTCCCTGGTCTAACCCAATACACCCCCAGAGCCGAGCACCCTCTCACCTCACATCACTACCTGGGTCTCACTGGGACCACAACTTCAGCCACACACTTCTCCCTCCAGGTGCTGGGTGCGTGTGCAGAGTGGCTGTGAGCAGTCCATGCACACGGCTCTGAACTAGCAAGAGGCGCAGTTCTTTGAGCAAAGACCCGCATGCAGCTCTAGAGCCACAGGTTAGCCACCCTGCCATAGTTAAACTAATCTATGCCCCATTGTAGATGTGACTGGGCTGATGGATGAATTCTTAGCTTCTGCCTGTTAGGGAGATTACCTGCATCAGCAGAAAAATTACCTCTCTCGCTGAAGAAAGTGCCTACATTGGTACTATAGCAATATTGCTACAGCAGTGCTGCTGTAGCATCCATAGTCTGGATATGCTCCCAATCTCAGTTGACATAAATGACTGAAAATGGGTTTTAGCTATCTAAATCACTGACATCCAGGCTTCTAACTTCCATTGAAATCAGTACATGTTAAGAGCCTGTATACTTATGAGGATCTGGGCTTTAAGTCTTGCAATAATGAATAGTATAAAATCTGGGACTAGGTACCCAAATCCCTTTTGAAACTAGGTTTTAGATTCCAAAATCACTGATATGCTTTTAAAGACTTTACTTAAACTTCTTTTGTCCTAGGAACCTGGTCTATTAAATCAGCTAATAAAGATAGATAGATAGATAGATAGATAGATAGATAGATAGATAGATAGATAGATAAAATTAAAAAGCAGCAAGAGAGCACAAGAAAAACACCTGCTCTCTCTTATGTGGGATGTAAGGAAAATTCAGAACATTTTTTTCTCAGTCCTGTCTTGAGCTTTTTAAAAATCTGTACTATATTGAAAAAAGGCACTGTTAAATGCATCAATGGGCCATGAAAAAGCTGTGCTGTCACTAATTAGCATTCTACTGTTATTTGGCCAGAGAAAAGTCACATTAATCTTGTGGGTTCATGGAATGCTAAAATGGTAAAAGGTTGTGATCACACAGAAGACCGAATGTTTGTTTGAAGAATGGAGGAGAAAATGTATACACAGTGGACAATTTTTTGAATCGAGTACTCAATAGAATCGAGCACTCAAGAATGCATCACCACAGCATATTAGAGCAAGTAGGAGGAAGCCTCCCAACCTGAGTAGACAGCATCGGGCCAGCAGTGCTCATCCAGAAATTGTGGCTCACCAGGAGTTTGAGTTCTGAAATGTAGGAAGTGAGGTAGGATTCAGAACCTGGCTCCAAATTGATCCGCGGATTCCAAGCATTATCTGTACAACTATTTTTAAAGCACTAGCATGATCCCTAGTCTGTCAAACTAGTATGAAATCTGGTTCGTATGGGCTCCAAAATGCTCTATAGATGTACCCTGCAAAGGAGTATAATGTTGTGAATGGAATGGGATTCTAGGAATCAGAACACTGTGGGTTATTTTTTGTGGCTCTGCCACTGCTTCAGTGTGTGACCTTGGGTAACTCACATCACCCTTTG